CGAGTATCTTCTCCACAGGGACGGACAAAAGGGAATTAAGAATTAACTAAATTCAGCGATTAAAAAGAAAATAAAATAAAAGCGTCGTGCGAGATTGGTTGGTTTGGAAAATAAAACTAATGCGAACAATTAACCTAGGGGGTTCTTTCTAATTAATGACGAAGGGAACATGGATCGATTCCGGGGTAACCAGATTTCTGGCAGATCAGGCCTAATTACATGAAATTAATTTAATTGAGCCTAGCTAATCATTACTAAGTTCTTACCGCTCTCGCGGCGTAGAGTACAATAATTTAGGGGACCAGGCTGATCTCTTGGGATCCTAAATTATTGCCAAGACGAGCGAGCTTACGGCCCCTTAATCGCTACTAATCTCTTAGCGAACGATTAAGTGTGTGTGAATGTGTCCTAGAACAAATTAGACCTCTCTTTATTTATTCTACATGCAATTGTAATTCTAGTGACCATCTAGGTTACAAAAGATATCAGTTAAATTATTCAAACACAAATTAAACGGCATTCATGCAATTAAACCGACAAGAATCTAGCCATACATCATGATTAACCCCTTCATCAATCCCAAATCCCTAATTAAAACTACTCACAATTCATAATTGAAGAATCAATAGAATTGGAATAAAAAGAATTAATTGTCATTAATTAAAAAAAGTGGAACTTACAAAGAATCCCAAAAGATTGATGAACAAGGCTGAAAAGCCCTCTAAATTTCGTGCTAGGCACTCTCTATGCTCCCCCTTGAAAACGGGGTTTACAGGCTGTTTAAATAGAAAAATCAGGTGAAATTTGAGCTGAATTAGGATTTTCGGAGCCAGACACGATGCCAGGCACGATCGTGCCTTCGATCGTGCCTCCGGAGCAAAAACGCGCATTTTGGGCAGGCACGATTGTGCCTCCCTCCAGGCACGATCGTGCCTGGCAGGCAGTAGCTCCGCGGTGCTTTTCTCTTCAGGCACGATCGTGTCTGACTTTGAGGGCACGATCGTGCCTACTTAACTTCCGAATTTGAAAAAACTTCCTTCATGCAAATTGTAGATAATGAAGTACTCTATCCACCACAATTTGCCGAATGTGATTTGAATCATCCAATCAAGAGATATGATCAACACGGTGGAAGGTGTCTTTCTGAAATCGCAGCAGAGATCATCTGACTTCATCGGCTGTTTTCACCTTCTTCCTCTCCGATTCTCGCAAAGGCGTCTTCATATGATTTGTAGCCCTTGAAGTTAGGTTTCATATTCAACTTGAATCGTGTCCATTGGTTGTTCCTACAAAGAGATAAGCTTGAACGATTGACAGAAGGTCAATCTGATCGTCGTTTTCAAGCTTCATTCATCTCCTTTTGATCCCGAAGCCAATCCCAGAGCTCTTTTTCCTTCAAATCTTCATCGAGAATCTTCCGGTCACCTCAAAAGCTATAAAATCATTCTCAAATGCTTCTCAAATCATCCCGATTGTTCCTCAAGTGCCGGTGTCGGGCTCAAATTCCCTGATTTTGACTACAAACAACACAAAACTCGAACCAACGCCCGGTAAACATAACTTGAGCTAAAATTGAGACTTGGAACACCTTAAAACTAGGAAAATCAACAAAAGCCGATCTCAACACGCATCAAATACGTGTCAAAATATGGACTAATCAAAAACTAAAATCAGAATAGTGCCAAGTGTATAAAGAATAACATATTTCATAGTAAGTAGGTTACTACCAAGTTTCCACAATGTAACAAAGTTTATGAGTATACATGCATACATGAGTTGATTGTGAGCATCTTCTACAATGCAAATTAATAACAGTTTCCTTCAATGCTCAACATGGTATTGAAGTCATATATGTTGCCACTTGCCTATATGTTGCCACTTGCCTGTATTGTTTCTCAAAAGTCAACAGATCAGCCATGCTCAGCAATGACCTTTTTTCAAACCTTATTTCTTTTCTTTTTGCTTTGTCCTCAAAATCTTGTTCAGGGCAGTGCCATCCACATTCTATCATCTTGGGGTAGTGCCTTTGTTTCCTAGTGTGGCTTTGATAAGTTAATCACTACAATGTATGAAAAAATATTTGTGTTCATAGCTCAACGCAAAAAGGACAACAAATTGCTCCTTTGACAAAACTAAAGAACCGAAACGACATAGTAATGTAAATCAATGAAAGTACTATGAGTAGTACAATTGAACCAAAGACAATTCTCACAGATAGCATATGAATCAAATTAGGGGTTCTAGTTAAAGATACTTATTTACAAATTGAAAAAAAAATCACATGAAATCAAAAGCAAAACTCAACTTTTGACCATATACCATGAAATTTTCTAAATCATAAGTGTTTGATTAAATGCATTGGCTACAGATTGAAGTATATCACAAAATTGTATACTTCCTCCGTTCCTTTTTAATTGCAACCGTCAACATTTCACGTTTGCCAATGCACAAGTTTGACCATTAATATCTTTCATTCCTTATTAATAAAAAATTTAAAAAAATAATATTTTGAAATTTTAGAATGAGAAGAATTTAATAATATTTTTTAAAATTTTAATTTATTATACATCAATTAATAAAATATAATCAAAGTAGAATATGTGAATAGTGCAAAAAGTACAATGTTGCAACTAAAAGAGAACGGAGGTAGTATATAAGAACCATAATAGTCTCCTTTCGTACTAAATAAAGAAGAAGAAAACACAAGAGTAAAGTTGTAAACAACAAAACTATTACATATTCAAATTAAAAGTTTCAAATGACTTAGCAAAGTATGGAATAATTAACTGTAATAGTAAAAGGAAATTGCTTACTTCATACAACTCTATTATTAATAAAAAAAATGAGGAAATATATCTCATCGAATACTTGATATTTAGGAAAAATATACCTCTTTCTTATATCCTTAACCTTGTCCTTTGAAGTGTATTAGTTTGCTCTTCTGTATGCTAGGCTGTGCCTGGATACATAAACACTCCATACTCCCACCTCTTAGGTAGCAACACCATGTTCCTTTTTTGTTCCAACCAATTCAAGTAAGATAATCTAGGCAGCCCGAAATATGACGCCTTCTCTTTTTTCATATTGATTTCAAGTAAATCCTGGCATTGATGGGAACAATTAACAGATTAATGTAATTATCTGGAAATAGCAGTAGGGTTGTTTTCACAGTGTTGCTGAAATAAGTTTAGTTGCTTTCATATTTTTTCAAGTAAATTCTGCCATTCATTTGGAATGAATGACATGTGAATATGATTATTTGGAAATTGCATTAAAGTTGTTTGGCTAGAATGTGATAGAGATCTTATTGTATTATACGCTCCGAAAACAACTATCAAAATGTGAAAGATGTTATCACTGACAATAAAATCCATAGTTTCATTCAAGAAGCATTAGTATTCTTAGGATTCTTTACAAATTAGCCAGAAATAAACAGACTAATTTTGTTATCACTATGTAGCTAAACAAAACAAAATGTCCAAATCAACTGTATAGGTCGAATGAACTTGAATATTAATGTTTTATGAATCAGAGAGTGTTTTCTTTATGTGCAGGATGTTTTAAAATAAGGAGTGTTTGGGAGGGAACCAAAAATAGAGTCTCAAGTCCAGGTCAAATAGGCCATATGAAAAAAATATGAACAATTGACGCTGATGTGTTAATTTCCGGCGGAATTATTACTTTCCGACATAAATGTCCTGAAATTGGACAAATATGTTAGTTAGAGGACGTATTATGCAAGTAAGTGAAGTTAGAGGATCAATATCGGGCACCACCAAAAGTTACGGGACTAATTTTACAAATTTCCCGTAAAAGTGTGCAATCAATAATAATTACGGAGTATATTATACGAGTACGGATTAGGGAGTACACCTTCTTCAGTCTCATTCACCAGTTTATGTTGTTTGACTAGCCATAAAATTAATGGATTCCTGTCATTAATAAAATTATTTTTAGTAAAAAACTGTTACTAATTTAGAAATTAAGTTACATTAAACTATACTCCGTATTATTTTTAGTAAATAAAATTTACTAACTCAGAAATTAAGTTACATTAAACAGCTGCGGTAAACCCTGGTTTGTAATCTGGACGCTGATATTACTTTATGTTTTTTATTTCAAGTTAATTTATTAGAGAGAGTAAGAATTAAGACATAGTTGTGTTCCAAAAAAAACATTGTTATATTCCAAGTCTTAGGTTAGACTGGTTAGTTAGTACGTTAGTTAGCTGAAGACTGTGAAGAGGTGCGTGGATCCTCAAAAAAGTTAATTTCTATGCCTATCGCCTATTTCACTCTAGGCATGGAGCCGGGCCGGGCCTAGACCCGGTCGGACCTTTTGTATTTGGAGGAAGGCCCGGGATCGGTCTGGGTTGTCGCCGGGTCCGGGTTGGACCGGGCCGGGCCTCAGGCCAATTTGTATTTTTTTCGTTTTTCTAATTAACCCCCGACACCCTCACCCCCCAAATGGCCCAAATACCCCGCCCAACCCGGATTTTTAAAAAAAATTGAAAAAAAAAAGAAAATAAAGCCCGACCGGGCCCGACCGGTTCCATGTTTAGATGACCTGAGCCCACCCTTCTCTAACCAGCGGGCCGGGCCTACCTAAACCGGACTGTAGTGGGTCACCGGGCCGGGCCCAAACAGTACCGGTCCTGGGCCGGTTCAGGGAACGGGCGGCCCAACCGGAGTCCAAGACTATTTCACTCCCAAAAAAGTTTAGGGTCATATGTCCCCATAGAAGAAAACATTAGGGTCATTTTTGCCCCTTTTGCAAGTGGAATTTCATGAATAAAAAACTATTGATATGCCAAAATTTTCAATTCAGAAGTTAAAATATGAAAGTAACATATCATAGTGAAAATAAAATATTGAAAGTAACATATCATATGAAAGTACATCGTGAACCCGAATACATATCATATATGAAAGTACGTCGTGAACCCGAATATATTTTCAATTGGAACTCTAGGAATAATTAACTAGCATATCAACTACTCCTATTTACTTGCCACCATTATCAGCCAATTGAGATGCCTTTCCCTGCACCTCTTCCACGTCTCTTTCCCCCCTTTGGAGAACCCTTTTCAGCCCCTTTTCGAGTTCCCTGTCCAGCCCTAGCAGATTTCTTGGAACCTTCTGCTCCTTGATCTACAAGTTAAATGAAGTTTTAATTAATGACAGGTGATTTAAAATTAGAAAAACAAAAAATAACAATTACGGAGTATTTACCAACACTTTCAGGTTTGAAAATATCAACAATTTCTAACACTTGTTGAACAGTTTCATAACTCTGAATTGCGTTTCTCCTATCAGGACTCTTGAAATCATTTAACACGACCGGGCGGCTCAAGCGTGCCGTTGCCGATGACTGCTCCATACATAGTCTCGAAAACGTGGCCCACTTTATCTCCATCTCACTCTCAAAAGTAGTCAAACGAAAGGAATAATGAGGATCGTCCTCATCAGACTCAATAGCACCAAGAAACTTCGTTTTTATAGGAATAAAACGCAAAGCCTCAGATATCAAAGTGATGAATACAAGAAAAGATTTGGAAACAAAAGCTTCAAAACGAGGATCAGTAGGATCAGCATCATACAGAGCATTAAACGCAGAACACAATATAGGTAAACCAAGGTTTTAAATAGCCGTAGCGGCAGCGGTAGCGGTAGCGGTCATCGCGGTAGCAGCCTGTAGCGGCCTGTAGCCGACTGTAGCGATTGCAGCGGCGTGAAATATTTTCAATTGCGCAAAACATATATTAAATGAGTGTTGAAGTTAATACAAACATTGTGAATATTTGTTTGAACACTTATAACATTAAGAGTTCATTTACACAACGTAGACACATTTACACATCAACCCGTTCGTGACGTACTGCCGGAACTGTCAATAGCGGGCTGTAGCGGGCAATAGCGGACTGTAGCGGGCGGCGTAGCGGGTTTTTCCCGTGATTTGGAATTCACAGCGGAATAGCGGGCCGTAGCGGTAGCGGCCCCTACCGCGACCGCTATATAGCGGCCGCTATAGCGGTAGCGGGCCGCTATTTAAAACCCTGAGGTAAACTAAAGTCTAGACCACATCGACCCCCAGAACGACCAAGTCCGGCTTTGCTTTCAAGCCTTCCATAAGAGGACGGCAAGGAGAGTTGATGGTAATCATACTTGATTTTGATATAAAACTAGTACATGCGGCAATGTAAACTGATAAGAATTGAATATATTGTTCTCTCATCCTCGTTCCGCCCAGGCCTCGGATATATATAGGCATGCTCCGTATTAATTGGAGAAATCAACCACTAGTGTCCTAGTTGGAATCTAACATGCAAAGTCTAGTTCAAAGCAAAACAAATACGTAGGACGCATGCTTTTGGAAATATTACATTAATTAAAAATAATGTCATAAAATTATAGCTAATCCGTTGCTGCATGAAAGTCTTGCTAACGTGTCAAACCTTCCGCCAATACCCCCCTCAAATTGGTGCATGGGGATCACAAATGCCCAACTTGCGCAATAAAGAATGAAATTGAGTATTGCCCAAAGCTTTGGTGAAAATATCCGCCAACTGAACCGTGGTAGGAACATAAGAGGGAGCAATAAGACCATCCTGAATAGCATCACGAATGAAATGACAGTCCACCTCAATGTGTTTAGTTCGCTCGTGAAATACTGGATTTTGAGCAATATGTAACGCAGACTGACTGTCACAAAACAGAGGAATAGAAGAAGGATGATGAATACCCAGGCTAAGCAAAAGACCCTTTAACCATTTAAGTTCACAAGTAGCAGCAGCCATAGAACGATATTCAGCTTCTGCAGACGAACGAGAGACAATGACTTGTTTCTTAGTCTTCCAAGATACCGGGGAATGTCCCAGAAAAACAATCCAGCCGGAAATAGACCGACGAGTAAGTGGACAGGCAGCCCAGTCAGAATCACACCAACCTGTTAAAGTGAGAGAGCTATCAGCACGAAGCAAGATGCCTTGACCCGGTGTCCCCTTCAAATAACGAACAACACGCAATGCAGCCATCCAATGATCCGTACGAGGAGCATTCATGAATTGAGACAAAATATGAATAACATAAGACAAATCAGGACGTGTGACAGCAAGATAAATTAGACGACCCACCAAACGCCTATAAGGTTCCGGATCAGAAAGCAAATCACCAGTAGCAAGAGCAAGAGAATGGTGTTGCTCAATGGGAAAAGCAGCAGGCTTAGCCCCTAGAAGATCAGTCTCAGAAATAATGTCCAAAGTATATTTGCGTTGACTGAGAAACAAACCCGTAGGACTACGAGCCACCTCAATACCCAGAAAGTATTTCAAAACTCCTAGATCCTTCATGTGAAAACAGGCATGCAAATAGGTTTTAAACTGGCGAATTTCCTCAGACACATTGCCAGAAATAATCAAATCATCAACATAAATTAAGACATTAAGTCGAATGCCCTCACGAGTATAAATGAATAAAGAATAATCGGCGTAAGATTGAATAAAACCATAGGTTTTGAGGGCTCCAACTAATTTAGCAAACCAACAACGTGGTGCCTGTTTCAGACCATAGAGAGATTTCCGTAATCGACACACCAAAGTAGGAGAAGGAGAAGAAAAACCTGGAGGGTATTTCATATAGACCTCGTCATGTAAGTCACCATGAAGAAAGGCATTGTGCACATCCATTTGATGCAATTCCCAATTCTTAGCCACCGCGACTGCTAAGAAAGCTCGAACAGTTACCATCTTTGCAACAGGAGCAAAAATCTCACTATAATCAATGCCTTCCACCTGGTGATTGCCGAGAACAACTAATCGGGCTTTTAAACGCTCAATGCTCCCATCGGAGTGATACTTTATTTTGTAGACCCAACGACTACCCAAAGCGTGCTTACCCGGCGGTAGAGGTTCGAGTGTCCATGTACCATTATCTTCAAGGGCCTGGATCTCAGTTTTCATAGCTTGACGCCAACCTGCGTCTTTCATAGCATCGGAAAAGGTACGTGGTTCGGTACCTGTCGTGATGGCAGCAAGAAACTTCCGATGCTTTTGAGAAAAATTATCACAATGAATATAATGTGCTAAGGGAAAAGGATTACCTGAGGAAGACTGAACAACGGAGGACAAAGGAGATGGACTTTTATGAATCACGGTATGAGTAATGTAATCCTTAAGCTTGACAGAAGGATATCTGATGCGTTGGCTCCGACCAAGCTGCGTGACTTCTGCTGTGGTGGTTGTCGTGTCATGCGGTTCACAAAGTTCTGAGAATTGCTGGGTGGAATTAGGAGGCGACGTGGCAGGAATTGAGTTGATAGGCATGCCACTAGTGAATTCCTCATAATTGTCAACATACGAATCAAAGTTATCAACTGGTGGGTCACCCTCTGGATTAGTAACAGTAATGGCAGGCTTATCTCGTTCAGCAAAAGGGAAAACATCCTCACAAAACTGAACATCGCGCGAAACAAAAATGTCGTGTGTGTCCAAATCAAAAAGTTTCCATCCTTTTTGACCGAAAGGATATCCAAGAAAAACACATTTACGACTCCGACTGAGAAATTTATCTACTTTAGCCCGCTGATTGTGAGCATAACACAAGCAGCCAAAAACTCGTAGCATATCAAAAGAAGGAGGAGTTTTGTAGAGTAATTCAAACGGAGTTTTATTTTTAAGTAAAGGAGTGGGGGTGCGGTTGATAAGGTAGCCAGCAGTAAGAACGCACTCTCCCCAAAAATCAATTGGCAATTGTCCTTGAAAACGTAAAGCACGGGCAACATTTAATATATGCCGATGTTTACGTTCCACACGACCATTCTGTTGAGAAGTTCCAACACACGATGTTTCAAACAAAATCCCGTTTTCCGCGCAATATTTTTTCAAGCTAAGAAATTCAGTGCCATTATCACTACGTATTCTTTTAATAGAAGCAGAAAATTGACGAGCAATCATAGTGATAAATGACATGAAAATTTTAAAGACTTCGGTTTTATCAACCAATAAATAAATCCAAACAGCACGAGAAAAATCATCCACAATTGTAAGAAAACTCTTAGCACCACATGTAGAGGGAGTGTTGTATGGTCCCCATAAGTCACAATGAATTAAATCAAAAACACGAGAAGTTTTATTATCACTTAAACCAAAAGAATTCCTAGTTTGTTTAGCACGAAAACAAACATCACAAGGAAAAGTAACATTATCTCCGGTTTGAAAAAGAGCTTTCACAATTCCCCCAGCTGGATGTCCTAACCGTTGATGCCAAATATCTGCTGTAGTTGTCACCGCATTAACCGAAGAAGACTGAGGCCCATACCGGAAATAATAAAGTCCATCCCTTCGTTCACCCGTTCCAATCAGCTTCCTCGAGTGTAGGTCCTGTATAGCACAAATATTAGTTTTAAATTGAACAACACAATTCAAATCGTCGACAAGTTGTGATACGGAGATCAGATTGCACCGCAAATTAGGTACAAACTAGTATATGCGGCAATGTAAACTGATAAGAATTGAATATATTGTTCTCTGATCCTCGTTCCGCCCAGGCCTCGGATATATATAGGCATGCTCCGTATTAATTGGAGAAATCAACCACTAGTGTCCTAGTTGGAATCTAACATGCAAAGTCTAATTCAAAGCAAAACAAATACGTAGGACGCATGCTTTTGGAAATATTACAATAATTAAAAATAATGTCATAAAATTATAGCTAATCCGTTGCTGCATGAAAGTCTTGCTAACGTGTCAAACCTTCCGCCAATAGATTTGGTCATTTGATCGAAAGACAGCTTGTCGGATAAAGGCAGAAGAAACATCAGAGAAGAAACCAACAAAACAATTTCGTTTGAAACCAATGAGATAGATATCTACCCTCTTCACTATCAGAGTTATGATCTTCTCATCAAAGGAGAGCTCAATAAAAATGAAATCCCTACAGTCTACAAATGGGGTTGTCGGATGGTTATCAACCCTCAAAACTGTTTTTCCAAGATGTGTTCTAGCTCGAAGAAGCTGATTGCAGTCATGCAAGAATCGTTCGTACGATGCTCCAGAGATCGAATTTAAGTCTAACGAAATACTATCGATTGGACATATATGAAACGCCATAGATAGAGGAGGAGAAGAAGAAGATGTGAGAGACCAGTATATGCGACAGAAAGATTGAATGAAAAGTGAAAAGTTTGACAAAAAAAATGAATGAAGCATGCTATGTATAAATACAAACCTGAAGTTTGAAGAATGTGCGAGATAGACTGCATCCAAAATCACAATATCTTTCATCCGCAGCGACCCATATGTGAGAGATCAGTATTAGCACTAACATGGAAGATTTCTGTCACAATATCAAAAGCTCGACCAGACTTCATCTCGCAACTGATGAACTACCCAGAGATCAGTATTAGCACTAAAGTGGAAGATTTCTGTCACAATATCAAAAGCTTGACCAGACTTCATCTCGCAACTGATGAACTACCCGCAGAGGAAAACTCTTCTATAGCACTTCAAACGCTCCACTCAATGACTATACTCAAAAAATAGAAACGCTGTATGCATATCCAGAAGCTAGTGTGTAGTCTGTATGCGACACAGACTGC